GCATTTCATTGTCTACTTTCCCTGCGCATGCCTCCATGCATTTCACTGTCTGCATTCCTCTCTGCGTTTCACTAGCTAATATCCGTGCGCATGCCTCTATGCGTTTCACTTACTTTCCCTGCTTATGCCTCTATGCGCTTCACTGTCTACTTTCCGTGCGCATGCCTCTATGCGCTTCACTCTGCACTTGCCCTGTGCATGCCTCTACGCATCTCACCGTCTACTTTCCTTGTGCGTGCATCTCCGCACATCACTCTGTACTTTCCTACGCATGCCTCTATGCATTTCAGTGTGCGCTCTTCCTTTGCACACTTTCCCTGCGCACGCCTCTATGCTTGCCCTGCGCATGCCTATGCATTTCACCGTCAACGTTCCTTGCGCGTGCAGCCATGCACTTCGTTCTGTACTAGCCGTACCCATGCCTCTACGAATTTCACTGTCTACTTTCCCTGTGCGTGCCTCTACTGTCTTCTTTCCCTGCGCATGCCTCTGCGTTTCACTGTGCGGTCTCCCTGCGCATGCCTCCAAGCATTGCGCTCTGTACTTGCCCTGGGCATGCCTCTATGCATTTCACTATCTAATTTCCGCGCGCATGCCTCCATGCATTTCACTGTCTGCGTTCCTCTACGCGTTTCACTATTTCATTTCCGTGCGCATGCCTTTATGCGTTTCACTTACTTTCCCTGCTCATGCCCTTATGCGCCTCACTGTCTACTTTCCGTGCGCATGCCTCTATGCGCTTCACTCTGCACTTGCCCTGCGCATGCCTCTACGCATCTCACTGTCTACTTTCCTTGTGCGTGCATCTCCGCACATCACCCTGTACTTTCCTACGCATGCCTCTATGCATTTCAGTGTGCACTCTTCCTTTGCACACTTTCCCTGCGCACGCCTCTACACTTGCCCTGTGCATGCCTATGCATTTTACCCATGCCTCTATGAATTTCACTGTCTGCTTTCCCCGTGCGTGCCTCTACTGTCTACTTTCCCTGCGCATGCCTCTGCGTTTCACTGCGCGCTCTCCCTACGCATGCCTTTACGCAACTCACTCTGCGCTTGCCCTTTGCATGTCTCTACGCATTCCATTGTCTACTCTGCGCATGCCTCTACGCATTGCACTGTCGACTTTCCCTGCGCACGCATCTTTGTACTTCACTCTGCACTTTCCCCACGTATGCCTCTATGCATTTCATTGTCTACTTTCCCTGCCACGCCTCTGTACTTGCCCTGGGCATGCCTCTATGCATTTCACTATCTAATTTCCGCGCGCATGCCTCTATGCATTTCACTGTGCGGTCTCCCTGCGCATGCCTCCAAACATTGCGCTCTGTACTTGCCCTATGCATGCCTCTGCGCATTTTACTGTGCACTTTCTCTATGCATATTTCGCTGTCTACTCTCCGACCTTGCAGGCGGAGCTGCGGGGGCGATACCTTTGTACTTCAAGTTAAGACTTTGCAGCCGGAGCAGCGGGGACGTGCTTTGCATACTACTTTGGTACTTAAAAGTTGCGACTTTGCAGCCTGATCCCTGCAGACGGTGGCGCGCAGACCGCGAAGATATGCGAAGATTCACACGGGACCAGCGCGAGTGATCTGACACGCACAATCTCCGCACAGGGTCGCGCCGACACGCGCGATCCCCGCAGAGGGCAGCGCGCGCGCGCGGCAAGAGTCGCGAAAAAATGCTAGTTTTTGCACCTCGACCACGCCGATCCCCGCAGAGGGTCGTGCGCGTGCGCCGCAAGAATCGCAAAAAAAAACAGTTTTTGCATCTCGACCACGCCGATCCCTCAGGTTGGGCACACGCATTTTGTAGTAAACCATTTTATAGTCGGCCTTTTTTAAGTCTACACATGAGTTGCTGCAGAACGCATGCAGTTTGTAGAGGCTGCGGCTCTCTTATTTTGAGGGGTTCAGACAAAATAACGGAGTTGTTCGGACTTGCGTGGATTTGCTTGGTAGCTGCATTTAAGAATGGTCAACCCGTATTGAGCACTGGTAGAGTTGAGAGCCAACTCGCCCACGACAACAGACACTTGGATTTCAGGGGTGGCCAGCGTGACACGCATTCCTAGCTGAAGTGACAGCGTTTGTTTCTTGACCACTCGGGTGCGGCGAAAAAAACGCCCGGCGAATTCAGAGACCCATGTTATAGATAAGTTGTTCCCCAAATGTTCCCCAAACTCTGTCGTCTTGTAGATTCCTTTTTCCGGAATGCGTAGCAAAGGGTTCCCGTTAAAGAAGGGAGCCTGGGGGTCAGCATGTGTTCGCCAGATGCGTCGCTGCGTTCGCAAGCGTCTGCAAGCGTTCGCAAGCGCCCGCAAGCGTCCGCGAGTGGAACGTAAGGCCGTGCCGTTGGGGAAAGCGTTTTACACGTCGTTTGGATGACTTGAAGCGTGTCATTTTCAGTGCCCCTGTGCGGGAATCGTAGCTTTTAAAGCTCGACGTGTCGTTTCGCTGCGCAGGCGCAGTGTTTTGGAAGGCTTCGTGTTCTCGTTGCCGTGCCAGGGGGATTTGCGATCCAGGCGTGGCTGTTTTCAGGTGTCCTGCTTGGCAGGCGCGTGATAGTGTTTGCGCTGGCGCCGTTTTCGTTGGCCCTGTCGTACAATCAACTCGTTTTCACGCAGATTTGCAAGAAAACGGTCGAAATCATTCTGGCGCTACAGTCCCGCGCTAGTTTCCGCGCACAGTGCGAGAGTGTCAAAGTGTGATTCGTGGCAGGCGCAGCATTTTGAGCGCTTTGCATGTCGCTGCAACGAACTGTCGATCGTGGTGTCAGTCAGAGGTGTCGGTCACCATTTTGTAATCAGCAGTGTTGCTCTAAACTGTGCTCCAGAAGTGTTTCTCAGAAGTGTTGCTCAGAAGTGTCGATGAGCAATGTGGATCAGGAGTGTTGACCAGATGCTCAGAACTGTCGATCAGTACGCGAAGTACAGGTTTCCACCTCCATCTGTAGTACAAATCTTGCGCGCAAAGTACATGTTTCCAGCTCTAGCTGGAAATCGCATGTACTACAAGTCTAGTACGCGAAGTACAGGCTTCCAGCTCTAGCTGGAGAATCGCGGCGCGCGAAGTACTGGTTTCCAGCTCTAGATGGAAAAGTGCAACTTTGTAGCACAAGTTTAGCGCGCTCGAAAAAATCGCAACTTTGCGCCCCAGTGTAGCGCGCGATCGCAACATTGCAGTACAAGTCTATCGCGCGAAGTGCAGGTTTCCAGCACTAGCTGGAAAATCACAACTTTGTAGTACAAGTATAGTACGTGAAGTACAAGTTTCCAGCTATGGCTGGAAGTTCGCAACTTTGAAGCGCAAGTTTAGTACGCGAAGTACAGGCTTTGAGCTCCAGCTCGAAAATCGCAACTTTGTAGCACAAGTCTAGTACGCAGGGTACAGGTTTTCAGCTCTAGCTGGACAATCGCAGCTGTGTAGCGCAAGTCTAGTGCGCGAAGTACAGTTTTCCATCTCCGGCTGGAAAATCGCAAATTTGTAGTGCAAGTCTAGCGCGCGAAGCGCAGGTGTCCAGCTCCAGATTGAAAATCGCCACTTTGTAGCAACAAGTGGAGCAAAGTGCCGTTATACAAGCTGAAAACATAGTTTGCGCAGTTGGCTTGATTGCGAGCCCCATTGGCTTATACCGAAAAATGTTCTCTCTAATTATTTTCTTGAATCTGCGCAAATCGAAGTGCATTCGGGTTCGTGGGCTCTGTCTTGTTCCGATTTTTCAATCCAACGCAAATCCAGAACATCAAGAGCTTGCTACCGTGGCTCGTATCCCTGAAAAAAATTGGGCTGCGCCCGAAATGGTGGCAAGCACAATTGGTGGTCATAAAAACATGTCCGGCGCGCTCGCTCACACGCGGTCGCGCGTGTGTTTAGGCACCCAATACACGCCTGTGAAATGGTAAGCGCGCCTGCTCTGCACACCCGCCTGCCACATTCTATGAGGCAGAGGGCAGAAAGGCGGGCCAATTCAAGTTGCGGTTTGCCTGGGCGAATCGCAGCCCGTCCTCAAAACCGAGCCCTGTTTTCGGGTGTGCGCTTTCCAATTGGCTGCGCGTTTCGCCTGGGTGAAAATGCAAGTTGGTTTCGTGGAAGTCCACGCCACTGGGCGTGGTTTTGGCTGGCGGGCTGTTTTTTATATATCTTGAAACCTTGCTGTCCGGCCCTGGCCCAAGATCTTTTATCTTGAAGCTTTCCTGATTTGAGTCGCTTCTGCATTGGCTCACAGAGGCAGAACCAGAGACTAAACCAACAATTAGCAGCAAAAGGATGAGACCACCATTGTGCAGACGAGATATATACAGAAACAAGCATGTGAAAGTGAAGCAGGCTGAAAAACAGGGTTGGGCACCAAGGTTTCAATTCAAGACATTCAGGGCAGCCCCTCCAAGGATAAAAGCAAGCGTTAGAGCAAAATTAGTTGAACAAGCCCAGCCTTCCTGCGGACACCAAGCTTTCAAGATATCCAGGGCAGCCCTGCCAAAAACAAAGCAGTTCAAATTTAATTTGGGCAAACAGTTAATTGAACGGGCCTGGCCTTCTTGAAAACATTGGTGTGTGCTAAGGGAACCTTCAGGGCATTTCCTGGCAAAGGTTGGCCGGAATTGGTTTCCAGCATAGTTGGCTGGGCCCTCTGCAGGAGGGTTCCCCTCCATGTTGATTTCATCACTGACTACTAAAATTGTAACTATAACTAACAAGTAAGCATTTTTCACTTGTGTTTATTCATTTTTGTTTTATTTCTGCATTTTTTGTTTTTTGTTGTATTTACTTTAAAAGGTAAGAGAGACAGTTCCGGAAAAACACGCGTCTACCTCGCCCCCCGAAAGCACAATCCAACGGTACGTTTGGAACTTGGGAGATTTTTGCTGGCCGGCCGAAAACTTCTTTCCCACGACAACAAGGCGAGCCCGTGAATCACGACACGGGGCTGGCTAACAGGAAGAAGAGCAAAGAAAGGGGCTGGTCCTGGCAGTTTTTCTCGTATTTCCAACTGAGGATTCTGGACACACTCTGGCATGCGCGCTTCTGAGAAGATGTCGTGGTGATTGCGGATGTCGGCTTTTGGCTGGCACCCTCAGGTCAGCGCTCAATTACGACACTTCACGTTACGTTGAAGGACACAGAGGTTCAATGAGGAATCACAGAAACCCTTTGGGTAGCGCAAACAATGTTTTCCCCGAGCAAATTTCAATATGTTTTAACTACGATCAAGAACGCCTAAATGACAGTTTGTTACATATGAGTTCACAAACCCTCCCTGAAAACCACCGGGTGCGCAGACTGTGATCAGGTGAAGGGAGCCCTGCACGGGAGTGAATGGAAGGACTGGCAATGCCAGGCACTCAGCTCAGCATAGGCCAAAAGGTCTCCCGCCCTCCGTCCAACTGTTACTCAGTATGCCGTCCAATTGTGCAATCGTTGCTGGCCTTTTCCTGTTTTTGTCTTGACTTTGTGCAGCAGTTGTCCCGGTGCTCCATGTGTCAGACGCGTAGCCGGGCGAAAGGGGCAATCGTTGGAGTACCATTTTGGTGACAAAAAATCGTGCCCAGGTTTTCCGTTGGCGTGTTGTGGATTTGCCCACCAATGATCAATTGGCCGACTCGGATGCTTTGGGCCCTTAGCGGGCTTTTGTGGCGTACACCCAATGGATAGACGTGGATTTCCCTTGAATGACGCGTTGCCCAAAGCTGGCAGGTTCGGCTCTGAGCCATGGGCTATCCAAAGGGATGTGCCACGCAAAGGGATGCTTTCGATGCATCCCTTTCGTTTCTTGAAGGGTCCCTAGAAAGCTCAGGTGAGCAGCTGCCGAAAGAGGGCTTGCTGGGTAAGCTGCAGCTTGTGATGCACGGTGACAACGTCACGCCGCTCGGTGGCACTGGACAAGTTCGGAGGCAGGTCGGGTGGACGACGCAAGCACATGTTTGCAGCAGCCGATATGGGCCAAATATTTGTCCAATTGTTTTCTCCTATGATCTTCTGCATCGTCTTGTTGACAACCCGACTTACTTTTATTTTGACGCTCCTGACTCCTCGACACTAACTGCATGCTCATCCAGAGCGCCCATGTGTTGCGGTCGATGCGCTCGTTTTGGAAAAGGAATCCTAAGAACCGTGCCGATGATCCAGGCGAGACGTGCGCATCGATGTGCCGCAGGCCAGACTCACGCGCCTTTGAGTCAGGTGGTTTCGTCCACTTCCTGTTTTGGGAACAAGTTTCCGCACTGCGGCGCCTGTGCTAAACCATTTGCTCTGGTTGCCGCACTACATGCAATACCGTTCCTCTGAGAGTATGCAGTATACCTAGTTGAATTGAGCGCACAATTTGAGGCCAGTCGCCCCAAGTGAGGAGCTTTTATGCTCCCTCCCGACGTGGGCGTCATCACGATGATTTGATGACCACTTGAAAGGACTACCTTTAAACTGTACTGTAGTTGATAGGGTTTGGGTAAATGACCACGTTTGTGAGACTGCTGGTAGCAGCGGACTGCGGACTTCCAACGACAAATTCTTCCTTATTTTTTTCGGCGAGCCAGCCCTATCGCAAAAGTGGGATTCCACTCCCGCTATCTCCCGATTCCCACAATCCTGCTGAAATATTGAACACATCGTGCCTGCTTGCGCCTCTCGATGGCCAAGATACAGAGCAGTGCCCTGGAGCCCAACTCTGCCTTGCGCGAGCCTCGACCCGCCGGTGCGCATTTGCTCAAAATCCTAGCTGGCCAAGGGAGACGCGTTATCCAGTGCAGGGTTCCGTTCTTTCACTGCCCCAAGGTGGACTTAAACCCGGAAATCAACAACCCCTGGGTTTAAGTCCACTTTGGGTTTGTCCCTTCAAGGAAACCCTGATCCAGTGATTTATGGGGCCCCAACTTGGATGCCTGACTTTAATTCATGGCCATTGTGTTAGGAGGAACGCAACACATGAATACCAAGGCATGCTACCTTGTCTCCGGGCAAGACGATAACGGCGCGGCAGTGTCACAACTGTTCCCAACAATTGACCGGGCTTGTCTTGAGTGCCCTCATGACCTTTGGATTTTGACCGAGCGTGAAAAGGCCCCTCCTTGACTTTGTTGCATCCACTCCGCACTTCGCGCAGATCAACGTGACGGGCCTCCACGCTTTGGACCAACAGGCCAAAACCAGCGACCGAGTGCCGAGTTGTCAAGTTGTCGAGGGGTTGGCCAGGTCCCGGCGGAGATATTCTTCTCCATCCTGGGCAAGCGCCACTCGGAGCGAGGTGTCACACGCCCGAAAGTCGGTACTTTGGGAGAAGACGGAAAGTCCCAGGCTTCACTGCGAGACCAGAATCACAGGCGCAACGGGGTTTTCTGGGTTTGTTTTGATGAGTCACATTGTGTCAGGCCTTCCATTTGTATGGCTCGACCATTCTAGCGAGATGGTTGCCTGAAGGCTCGGCGTTTGTCGCTTTGCACTTCTTGCTCGAGCTGAGACGAAGACGCGAGGCATCGAGCCTGATGATTCGAGACAGATGTGCAAGGTGACGCTGTCGGGCTCCAACATGTGGATGGGTGGGGCGCCCGGTTGATTGACAGTCCAATTGACAGTCCAATTGACTTGCAAGCAAGTGCAAAATTTGACTTATTGACTTATTGCCGATCTGAGGCAGTTCTTCAATAGTGCAGGAGAACTGGCTAAGGATCAGAAAGGATCCACTTCGTGGGTCTCAAGGGAACCCCAGGGCTTAGCGTGTCGTTTCCTTGACTCAAAGGGAAGTCACATAAAAGGAGAGCTACCGCACCTTCCTAGACATCATCCGCAATGCGAAGAGGCAGGCATGGCGTTTAGCCTATGGGCCCACAACTGGAAACTGTTCAAGGATGTTCCCAAGCACAAATCATTACGCAAATACGCAAAATCCCAGAAATCTGTTGCCTGCAGGTATATTTTCATTGAGAACCAGTATTTCTCGAGCGACTTCCCTTCAACCTCTGCGGAGTGCAGCATGCCCAGCCAGTCAAACTCATCTACAGCCCATTGGATGGTTCACAGAATCCACAGAGGTGACTTTACGTCACGCAAAAGATCGGCTAATATTGCTGATCCGGAGCTGAATGGTCAGATTGCCTTTTCTGGCACGATTTCAGCACTTCAAGGCTGATGCGCCGAGCCAATCCAAGGTCAGCACATGCACGACCCCACCAAGGCGGTGTTGCAGCTTGGCGTCGTTTTGCCAGGCAGTTTGTCAAGATTGTGGACGCTTCTGGATGGAGATGTCAACGAGGCATTTGAAACTCCAGAGTGTTTCAGCCACCTTGACAGGGCACGGGTTCGAGTGCGCGCTCGATTTTGGCATGCGGTTTGCCCGTGCACCGGGTGAGAGTGCACTCGCAGCTTCGTTCATGAATTGCCTGGTTGCAGACGTGCAAATGGTGTGTTTTACACAAATGGTATTTTGGTCGCCGCCCCTTGCTCAGGCAAGAGAGAGCCCATTCAAATCGGTGGCGGTTAGAACAACTGTTCAACATTGAGATGCATTGAGATAGGGCCATTGTTTCAGTGTGTGCTGCGCCGCTTCTGTTCACAGTTCCCCACCATGCTTCCATGATCTTTCTACTTGCTGAGATGTGTGCGCTGGGCCGGCTTTCTGTTGCACCCCGCCTCCACCTCCAGCACCGTTTCCTGCCTCTGAGTGGGCACTAAGCGACTCTGTTGTAGGTGCAAGCGATAGCGTAGCCCTGGCAAACCTTTTTGGGAGGGATGTTCCGCTTTGCGGGTCCGAGGTACAGCGGGGCGACCAATCGAATCGGCGAAGCCGCTCGGCTTGTGAGACGTGAGACAGGCGATACCTTGTCCCAGAGACAAAGACCTGCCCCTTTCATGGCCATTCAACTGGCAACAAATGTTACCATGAGTTCACAATTAAGTTGCGCAGGTAAAGGGGGGAGGGGGGAGAACTTAGAGTGTTGACAAAATTAGGAGAGCGTTGGCCCATTTCCTTGGTTTCTGATAGCAAGCGGTCTGGAGGCCTCGAGTTCAAATTTTGAATCTGGCGATCGATTTGACTCTGCCAGAACCAGGCGATTTTCCCATGTCCACGTCTTGGGCTCATGTCCATTTTTTCACATGGAGGGGAAGCGGGGGGGAGGAGTGGTGAAACACTTCTGTTGATGCTTGTTGTAAGCAGTAAATACCCACACAACAAGCAGACATGAAAACACAGTAACCACCCTATCAGTTCATGTCACGAGTCTGAGCTGGGAGCCGCACTTTGTCGAGAAAGTGGAAGTCCCCCCCTAAATACACCTTGAGCAATCTGATGTTTCCACCGAAGCTTTTTCCACAGTACGCCCCAGTTCCTTGGTGGCGCCCCTTACGTCATTTGTTGGTTTTAGGGCGCTGGCCTTTTTCTCTACTGGCCTGTTTCAAAGAGGGTTCACACAAGGAGCTCCGTCTGGCGAACATTTGCGCCGCACTGGTCTATTTACCAGCGCCCTTCATTTGTGTCCTCTTCTTCTACATTTTCCTGCACTCGGCCCTCTGGTGCATAGGCTGCGCCTAGTAGCCGATGCCGAGAACAACGCTGCCTCATCTTCTTCATTCCCAACCACACTCTTTGGCATGATCACAACCTTCTCATCGTGGCCGCATAGATGGCCTGGACGAAAGTCGGATGCCGCTGCTCAAGCCCCTCATCTTTCGGCTGCGTCCACTTCCTTCCCAACAGGTCGAAAACAATTTCCGCCTCCTTACCAGCACGGACCCAGAGGCCAACTACCATGAAGATGATGCCCGGCAACAAGCCTCCCAAGAAAAAAATGACCTGCCCACCAATTCCGCCCCACTCCCTGCCAGCAATTTTATTTTCGCACCACGCAGGCTTCCCTCAGTGCCCTTCTCCTATTGGTTACCTGCCGCATCTTGATCACCGACGTGCGCTGAAAGGCCTGGCCTTCAGGGCTTTCGTGCCGTGCGCCACCAGCTTGCCCGCATGCGGTGACCAACTCCCATTCTCCAAGGCCCACCGTGCCGCCCCAGATCCGCAAAATGCTTGGTCCTCCACCTGCCTGACCCATTCTAAAGGCAGCCGCGTTGTCCATCTGTGGCCCCAATAAATCTTTTCAGCGTGCACCTCCAGCACAGCTGGTGTTGCTGAGTTCCGCCTCCGCCCACGACTGGGCCACAGAAGGTTGCTTGGTCGTCTCCCAGGCTACAGTGTTGGCAAGCCTGCAAAGACGACTAATTGTAAACGCTTTGCGTTGCCTGCCTTGGCTAGAATGCTTTAGGCTGGCTTTGAGGTATTGTGTTTCGGCTTGCCTTGAAGTGTTGTGTTTGTTTGAGTGAGTCGGCGCCGAAACGAGCTGGTTTCCAAGATAGGGGGTGGACGCATGCTGATTTCCACATGGCTTCAAGAGGATTTGGGGGTTTGACGAGCGGTTGAGGGTGACTGATTTCTAGAGGAATTTTGCCAGGAACCTGGCGTGTTTCTAGCGGCTGGGCCTCGGAGACTTGTTGATGGCTCTTCATCTGCTCCATCTCTCGCCACAGTGCTCCACTCAGCCCCACTTTCATCAGTCCCATCTGGCCTTCACCCTCTTTAGGCGGCCCCCCCGCCCCCCATGTTGCCCGTGAGTGCACCACCTTCACCAGCCGGAGCCGCAGCTGCATCATTTTGGGACCTTTCTTGAGGGTGTCGATGCCCACAGCGCGGGACAACCAATCTGACGGTGCCCCCAACAGGCGACAGGGCCATTTCACTATTTTCCACGCCCTGTTCAGCGCGAGCCCGCGTAGGTGCTGCTGGACCGGGTGAAGCGGGCCGTGCTGCTCCATGAGAGCTTCTCCGTGGCTTGGGAGCCCAATTGTCACCGACAAAGCCTTTGAACTAATTTTTTGATAGGCCCAAAATCAAGATTGACGGATGTTTCTCTAGTTTCCTTTTGATGCACCCCCCCCGACAAAAAAAAAGCAAAGCGCCCGAGCAGGGAGACGCCGCGGGACGAAATTTAAGTAACTTCCGTTTCTTCAAACCGCAAACACGGGGGCGCCCCATCAAACATGCTGTATGCTTCAGGATTAAGGGCTGTTGAGATGGTTGAATATTCTGCTAAGAACAGACGCAGCAAAAGTGACTTCAAGGGCGCCTTGTTGCATAGGCAAGAAACTATAGGCGTCGTGGTGGGGGAGAAGGAGTTTCGCGCAGGCCTGGCGGAGGCAAGAAAAAGCGATATGAGAAGACCCCGCCAAGAGACGGACACAGGCTCATTAGTTCGAGCACATTGTGTTTGCTCGCGCAAACATCTTGCGCATCAATACGAGGCACAAACTGAGCGCTGGGGTTCTACTGGTGGACAATGGCACTCATCTACTACCGTCAAGTCTGCACCACGTGGGCTTCTGAGGCCTTCGTGCTACCTTTGGCCACCGAGCCACTTGGATCGCAGGCCTGCTTGTGCAGTTTTCTGGACGCCTTTTGGATGACCCCTTTTTCTGGTAGAGCTTCCTATGGAGCGCTTTGGAGCAAACGTAGACCTTGTTTGGCAGGACATGCTGCTTTGCTCGAGATTCCAACGTTTAAGGGCTGCCGCCCGGTGCCGCCCGGAGCCGCTTTGCGCAGCTCATTCACAACCACCTTCGTCACCGAAGCTGGTGAAAGAATCATGGCCCAAGCTTCCTGAAGAAGCGGTGGATGAGTTCTACCTACACCTCTCTGCGCCCTTGCCAATCGCCTTCTTCACACAATCATGTCACTCTGCCGCACCATGAGCCCGTTGTACAAGGATGGCTGGACGAGGCCCAAAATCCTGAGCAATTGCTACGGGGCACGCGGCCAAATCACGCAAAGCATCCTCACCAACAACCGACACACACTACGAGGACAGGCTGTGGATGATTGAAGAGTGTGCCAAGATGGAGCCCATGAAAAATAAGTTGCGGGACTTTGGCCTTGCGTTCGCTGCATCACCAGTTGTTTGCTGTGAGTTGAGAAACTGCGAGACTGCCGCGCGATCAGGCCATGAGCCACGATGCAGAATTTCCGGTTATGGGCCATATTCTGGCCTGCCCTTGTCCTCAGACTGAACTTTGAACCAGTGCTTCGAAAATACCTCCACGAACAAAGCCCCCCGCCTTTTTTAAACCTTCGCCTTTCCCATGAGCAGGCGCAGAAAGACTGCAGAAACGCAGTCTTTCCATGTGGTTGGAGGCTTAAGAAGAAGTTTTGCAGCTTGGCCACCTGCAGGTTTGCAAGGCACGTGTTTCGGACCCACGCTTGGCTTGCGGGAAACAAGGCTCTTGCATTTTAACCGGGAGCTTTGCGACACGGCAAATGTGTGTTTTTGCGTGCGCGCGTGCGTGTGCGAGTTCGCATTGTGACGGGTTGGTTGATTTGCAAGCCGCAGCTTGACAGCGCGCAAGTTCCAAACAACTGCGAGACGCAGTTGTCGCGATCTGGTAGCCAAGAGCAGACACGAAGATGAAGGAGCTGAAGATCACCCTTGAGCCAGTGCTGACTCCAGATTGATCAGCCCCAGTCTGTTAATAGGGGACTGTCCACTGGCGTTGGCGGATTGCGTAGCGATTTCAAGACTCTCCTCTCCGGGCGTCTGTTGGAGGCAACAGATGCGTTTCCCGAGAAAACGGCCCAGGAAAACCAGACCAGCGCTGCACAAAGTCAGCTCGCTGGCTCTTAACGCGTGGAAGACAAACAAACAGCGCCCCTCTGACGTCGGCTGCATGGTGCCTCGAATTTGGGGCCGGGAACAAGACGTCTTTTTGCCTAGGTCGCATCGGGCTCGAAACGTGTTGAGGGAGAACACCCGCTGACTTCGGCTGCAGAGCGCCTCGGATTTGGGGTAAGCGGTCGCCTATCTGACGTCGGCTGCAGGGTGCCTCAAGTTTGGGGTCAGGAAAAAGACGTCTTTTTGCCTAGGTCACATGGGTCTCTTAAAGCCTGGAAGGAGAACAAGCAACGCCCCTCTAACGTCGGCCGCAAGCACTTTGAATTTGAGGTACACGGGAGTGTTAAAGCGTGGAAGGAGAACAAACAACGCCGCTTTGAGTTGCCTTGAATTTGGGGAAAGGAAAAAGACGTTTTTTTGCTTAGGTCGCACGGGGCTCTTAACACGTGGAAGGAAAGGGTGCCTCGAATTTGGGGTAAGGAAAAAGTTGTGTTGTTTTTGCCTCGGTGACATGGGGCTCTTTTCAATCGCACACAACGCCGCTCTGGCTTCGGCCGCAGGGCTGAACACGTTACAGGAGAAGACCCGAAAGGGTAAAAGGGCAAGGTCCCATGTCTTTGTAAGTACAAGAAGGCCTTCTTGGCACTTTCCTGTTTGTCATGTCCCAGATGCTGAGGATGCTGGAAATGCAAGGGATGCATCTACACAACTTACAGGAACAGACTCAGTCTTCGCACTCAAGAAATTAAGACTTTCAGACACGGAATATGGACCAAACACAGAAAATACCAGACATGTGGGGAATGCTGGGAACGCAGCCGGCTAGCCACAAAAAAGTGCAAATCATTCATTTTTGCAAACTTCAACAGTTCCTCAAAGTATCACTGCGCTTGGCCCCACCCAAACCGCCAATTCCAACATCGCTTGAAACAGCAAAACACCACTAGTATCTGCAAAAAAGGACAAGTTCATGGCAACGAGATAATCCTGATGCTGCGCATCTGGGGGACCCCCCCCCAGAGACCTAGTGGAAACGCAGATTTTTAGCGCGAGAGACCAAAACACAGTGGAAAAAACCTAGAGCAGCACGCCCAAAAAATAGCAGTCCCAAAAGCCTTCGGCTTTGATAAGAGATTCCGAAGGAAAAATCAAGACCAAGTTGCGGACTGCCATCTACACGCTCGACTGGCTTCGGCGGATTTGTGTAAAACATGTGTGCGTAGAATGAGCGCTGCCGGTCGTAACAACAAGGTAAGGCAGGCTCCGTAGCAACCTCGAGGAATCCCAAGCAAGTGCCTGACGTAGGTGCCCAAGCCCACAAAGGCCGAGCTTATATCAACCCTTGTGAAACCAAATTCAGGGCACAACGCTGAGTGCTCCACAACATCCATAGAATTAGCCAGCGCTTTGTCACGGAGACAGTGGTCATTGCAACTCAACTGAAGTGGGAAAGCAAGCTCCACACACAGGAGGAGAGAATGGTTTCTTGAACTGGAAACAAGGTGCAAACAGCTTGTTTCAGCAATTAGGGTGTCTTGAGAGCGGCCACCGCGAAAGATGGCAACGTGTCAAACGCAACAGCAAGGTCTTGTCAGGTATAGGGGTTAGGGGTTAGGGTTTTCCGGGTTTGGGCCCCCGCTCAGCCAATCCCCCTTGGCCGAAAGAAAGCTTTGGCGCCTTGGCTGCTCTGCGGCATCCAAGCCAGCATCTTTAAATGTCCGTTGCCGGTTCTCCGGCTTAAGCTCTATCGCTTTCGCCGCTTTGTACTTACCGCAAGACTTCCGAATTGCGGTCGTCTTAAACTTGGCAATCTCAGTTCTCATGCCGGAGTCGAGCCATGCTGCGTAGACCTTGAAGTCCTGGAAGCCGGACAAGTTCACCTTGCTTCCCCGCACTTCTTCATTTCAGCCCATTGCTTTTCAATCGCTGCAACCCCAAGACCAACTACATCCAAGCTCGACCCACCTGCGTCGCCGTCTGCAGCTGCGCGAACCTGGTAGAAAAAGGGGACGCTTGCCCACACTGCAGTCAAAAACGGCTCAGGCACCTACCTCCCCAGGCGCTTTGTCAGCACCGACGGCCGCGATCACCTTGTGAGCAGCCTGGATGCTGCCTTGAGCAGCACTTCCGACCGAGACCGTGATGTAGTTGCTCGAGGAGCTCAAACAGCCACGCTTCCAGCCGGTTTTTTCCCGCTTCGCCCCTCACGTGCGAGATGCGGCGCTCCAAGCCCGCGATTTTGTCAATGTGGGCAAGCTTGTTCTTCTGAGCGTTCAAGCTGTCCTGCCCCCACTCATTCGGATTCGAATCCCGCTAAGGCGCTGAAACGCATCGTTGAATAGTCGCTGAAAATGGTTGTTTCCAGCAGCGCTCGTGCCATCCCGATGACATAGAAAGGCGCACAAGGCAGCCAACGCAAGCCGGTTTTCGTTCATTCGTGCGTGTTTGCTGGGGCGGGCCGGCTGACCATCGCCAGGTGAAATGCTTCTAAAACATTTTTATGTTTTGCCCTGCCTGCAAGACCTGCAACCCAGTTGCAAACACTCTTTTGTTTAGGCAAAAAGGTCCGGCTGGATACAGAATGTGATCCGGCGGGTGTCACAACCTTCCAAGTTTAAACGGCGGAAGCGTGTAACGGTCCACCTGAAAGAAAGTGGTGTTTAGATCGTCAAACACGAGATGGGGCAACGTAGAATCAATGCTGTCACAGGCCGATGGCGAAATCATCGTCGCTTACCGGAATGCAAACATGCCTGAGAAACAAACTGCGCAAAACTGTTCAGAAACCCTGGAAGCTTCGTAGCTATGGGTTCAAGTTTAGCCCCAAGCAGAACCACAAACAGGTCATTCAGCGCAGCATGGCTGGTGGCCAACGCCGAGCTCAAACACGTTTTGCGGGGAAGTCTGGGGGCCCAGAAACAAAGAAGCATCCCTTCGAAAACAAGTGCCAGCGAGAACCGCTACCTCGGCTGCGTTCCCGTCCACGCACTCTTCACGCTCTCGATGTACAGTCTGGCCTGCTTTGCCGCCTTGGACAGGGACTCCTCAAAGGTGGCCGCCTTGAGCTGCGGCGAGGGCCCACAAAGATCAGCCTCGCCTGGAAGTAAGGGGACGCACTTCTTCTCCGCCTACCACGCAGAAGCGCAAGTCCACCTCTTCCTCCATGCTGCGGATCTTCCATGGGACCCCCAGCCCGCACATCGCCTTGATCTTCCGCCGCTCCTCAAGCATGTCAAAATTCCCGAGCTTGCCAATCTTCTCCTTGCAGGAGTTCTTTGCGCTCATCACGGACTGCTCCAGAGACACTCCACGCCAGCAATGTGCATGCTGAGGACTTGCTGGCCGATGGCTTCGGAATCACGAATGTTTTCTGGCTGGGAGGCTACTGTTCACAGCGACTTCATCTGCGACTTCACTCCACAGAGGTTGAGGACTGCGGCCACATTCCTTGGCCGGGAGTATGCACAGGCCCGAGCCACGCCGAAGGTGATTGACCAGTCCCCAAGGAAGCGCAGTACAACTCAGGGGCTGGCGATGCAGAGTTGAAACGCTTCACAAAGTTTGACCGCAGCCCCTCGCGTGACCTGAGCGCCAGCCGCCCTGGATTGCGCTCGAATGGATTTCCTGCAGTTGTTGGTGGGGAACCAGCATGTGTATGCTGAATTTTCTGGGCCTGCGGCCTCTAGTTATACCATGTCATGTCATGTTTTTTGTGTGAGGAACGTATCCTGTGCTATGATATGGCTGG